GCTTCTGAAGTGACCAGTCTACCATTCAGATAAACATGAGAACAAGCTTTATACCACCAACCACCTCCTTCCCCAAGCCGTGCAGCACAGTTGTCACTACGTTCGTCTTGATCTCTGTCAGTCGTTGTGAAAGCCATTCCGTTTTGATTATCAAGGCCAGTATTAGTACCAGTGGTGTTGTACATATTCTCACTCTTTGCCACCATTGTGCCAAAAGATATTTTGTAAAAGGGAGCGGGTTGGATCGTGAAGTCTAAAACAGAGCAAATTTATCCTCTTCGAATTACGCCTAAAATATGTTCACCCAAAAGTACACAGATGATTTTTGTTGAAAGACAGCAAATTAAGATCGCTTGTATCAGGCGATACCCTGACAGTTCTGACTGGCCTTTATCTGCATAACTCATGTTTTTGTTATATTTTTGAATGTCAAGATAATTCTCTTTCAGTAACAAAGTATTTGTAGCAATTACAGTGCCGTATTTCCTTTTTCTGCTTTTCAAACTGAAAAGCTGTTCGAAGTCATAAACAGTATCAAACTTTTGAAATTCAATAAAAACTTTCAAAGATGATCTTCATAAGGAAAATAAATTTTTATTAATCAGGCATTGGTCAATGCATACATAAACAAGCCATACAAAAAAGGCACTTTCAGCGTTTTTGAAAAAATATATGTCAGAGAAATGGAAAAATTTACTGTATCCAGGACTAAGCTCTGCGCACAAAGATTTTTTGAAAAGTTTTTTGGTGTACTATAGTTTTTTTGCCAGTGAAAAAGAATCAAAATAATTATTGGGCATTTTCGAAACTCATGTTCTTTAAAAATTTAATAACACCATTTTAGCAAAAGGTATCATGTTTGTATGACTAGTATTTTCTATAGACTTAGTTCATGAAACTGTTTGATTAGCATTTTTGGTCTATGGTGGTCAAGCAGGGGTTAGCAGGTTTTGAATGATTTTTTGCGCATAAAACCAATTTCTGACAATGGTTGAAAAACGATATTGCCCATTTAACCCATTTACGAGTTTTTTAACCAAAACAATGGGGTTTTTAACCAAAACATTTTGATTATCTCGTTTAGACAGTTATTTTTAAAATACGTTAAGTTGCTCTGAGATCAAAATATCTAATTAAAAGTGCAAATTAGTTTGACAATGCCCTTTTTTTGATTGACAACAGTATGCGGGTGTTTTCTTGATATTTTTTTCTCATTTTTAAACTTTTAATTGAAAGCTGTGTAATGATGACTGTTTGTTTAGTTTACCTGACCATTCGCCCCAAAAAAGTGTATTGTTGGAGAAACTGCGCATCGAAACTCGAAGGTTCCATCTTCCTTTTTGTGTCAACCTGTGCATTCTGTTCAACCCCAGCCACACATCTCCTGCTCCGGAAAAGTCTCCAAAACCTGCTTCATACTCCCCAAAAGTGCGGTTGAATAAAATGTCAAATTGTTTTCGCCTCTGTAAAACTATCTCCTGTCCCCACTGAAATGCGGGTCAACTTAAAAATTACAATCCTTTTCAAGAACAGGAGTAATTCTTTTGTAAATTCAACCCAGAAAACTGTATTTCGGGAACTAAACGGTATTTTAGAACGCATTTGGACCCAAGTTTGTATGAAAAAAAAACACGTGAAACATCCGGGAAGAGGTCTGTTTGAGGCTAAGCTAGATGTAATTGCTTCATTTTGACATGTGCCGCTCTGATAGTTAGCATTTGTTTAGTGAAATTGATTCAATTTAAATACAAAAATTTTTATATACCAATTTTTCATGCTTTAAAGGGAGTAGGAAGACCCTTAGATAAATCATATATTCAGCTTTTTCAAAATTTTTGCTGCAAATGCTTGAATAAAACTAATTTTTGTACATGCTTTTTTTTATATTGTTGCCGCGTTTTTTCTAAGATGAGCGTTTTTTAGTTATTAGCCTCCAGGATAGTTTTTTTGTTCTCAATATCCGCTTTTAGCATTTGTTTTTGTGTATTGTGATTGCAATGCTGCAAGATTTTTTGACCTTTTTTTATTTCTTGACATTCAATGGTAAAGTTTCCTAAATCATACATAGAAAACGGTTTTTCTAGATAACTTACTGTTATTTCTTTCAGATTCACCTCCACCCTCTCAATTCTGCTGGATACATTTGCTAACTCACCGGCAACACTATCAATTTTTATTGAAATGTTAGTCAAACCGTCTGCCAGTCGGGCGAGGTTTTCCGTAATACGATTGCTGTTGACATCGTTCCTTCTATTGGCGTCAGTGTGTTGTGCGTTGATCTTTTTTGTTTCATTTGATAAAAAAACTGTCAGGAACAATAGAACGACAACCAATGTCTAAATAATTGAAAAAAAAACATCAATACAAGGAATAAATTACAAAAAGAAAATTATTGGGCTTCTCATGCTGTTGAAGAAAAGTAACATAAAAATTGAACAATCCTCCATCAAATGCCTCACAATTTTTTTTTCAGTAAAAAAAATTTGACAAAATGATTAATTTTCATTAAAAATTTTTAGATTCAAAATTGTTGCTTGTTTTCATTCATTCTTTTTGGCGCCAACGTAACAAATTTTGTGGGGGAGCGCTCGTCAAGAAAACGCAATTTTTTGATCAAAATTTCCCAAAAGTGCCTAAAAACGCCTTTTTTGGTCTGTTTTTTTTTAAAACTTGCCTGCGCCGGAAAATTTTGTTTTTCACTTAATAGGGTCCTTATACTATTTTAGGAGAGCTCGGAAAATCTAATTGGACAACCTAAATAACTTCTGCGAAATTTGCCATGTTTTTAAAAATACCCCCTGGAAAACTTTTGCGCAAGCCACTCGGTTCAAGTTCTACCATTTAAAGTAATTTTTAAACGCTACTGTTCATCAGTTTTCGTTTCATTATTCATAAAAATAACAGTTGTTTTGCGTTTCTGACACTGGCAGAAAATATCTTTAGAAAAAATTGTGGCTTCCACTTGCGCTCAACTGTTTTCGTTTTCCAATCAGTTTAGTTTATGCAAACTTAAGCTTTTGATAAAAATTCTCGCATTTTTTCTTAAATGGAAGTTTATTCAACAACCCCGTACCCAGCAAAGACTTCTGAATTACTTAGAAAAATATATAGATTACCTTCGCTATAACTACTGTTTCCGAACAAAAAAATCTATTTCTTATCTGACAATAGAAACAAACAAGTTCAAGTGAAGTCTAAGCTAAGAGCATTTCACCGCTCTACCATTTCATATTAGATCAAAACGTTTTTAAGTATACAAAAAAGTCGTAGCTTTATGATGCGTTCAAAATCTCTCATCTGACATCTCCGGTTTGAAAGTATAGTCCTGTGTACTCTAACAGGGGCGACGGATCTAGAATTTTCTCGAGGGGGGGGATTTCGAAAAAAAAATTTCAAAAAATTTGTCGACAGTTTTTTTAAAGTAGATCAAATTAATTTTCTCATCTCTCACCAATGACTTATAAAGTCCCTATTTGACCAAATTTTCTGCTGCGCAGGCAAATCTTAGAAAAACAGGCCAAAAAATTGAACTTTTTGTTAAAACTAGGGTATTTTGACGCCAAAAGCGTACTAAAAAAATGGACCAAAATGCTGCTCAACTGGTAGCTACAAGGTTTTAATTGTTTTAAACACTTTAATTATGCATTTAACTTTTTCTTCTTTTTTCAATTAGTACTGGTTTAGCCACTACTAATGTACTCTTAGATAGTGTCATTTGATTACAATTAAAACACCTCAGCGCAACTCTTCTTTATCAATTGAAGTGCAAAAAATTACGGGAAGTTCTTTGCACACGAAAACGTAGTGGAGTGGACCGCTGTCACGATGTCGTATCTAACTATAAAAACTCGAATCGAAATGAACCCCCCCCCCCAAAAAAAAAAAAAAACGCTCTAGGATAACGGGATGTTATCTTATTGCTCCAAATTGCATATGAGCCCTTCAATAAAAATGATCAAGGTGTTTTTGATGAACACTGTTCAATAATGGTCTAATTTGTTGTCATGAATCTTTGAAAAAGGTCGCTCGAAATTTCAAACAACTTGATTAATTCCCGCTATAATTCCATAGTTTGAAACTTTACTTACTGCCAAAACAACAACGGCAATCACCAATGCGATCATCATAGCCATGAAACATTTCACAGGCCAATTATTCGCTTGCGGCTCTTTGTCTTCCTTTTGTCCGCCGCTGCGCTGAGTAATCGCCGGCTCCTCGTAAACATATTTGCTACCGGAAATCTGCTCATCTTGTTCAATGTTCGCCGACTCCTCATAAACGCTATCTTCCCGTTTGTTACCGGAATTCTGCCCATCTGCATTGATGTTCGGGTTAGATTCAGTATTTTGAAGTTGGAAACTAACATCACCAGTCGATGTTTTGAAAGATGCCATTTGCGTGTTGTTTATTAAAAAAATTTGGTTACCCCTTTTTAAATGCGCTTGTAAAGTTTATGTATAACCACCGATATTAAGAGCTGTGCTCTTATCTATCTTTTTCATTTACTGTGCAAGTGTTCAAATATTTTCAATAATGACCAAAGATCTGGCTTTCTACCTGGCTTATGAAAAAAAGCAAGTTAAACGTTCTACAAGAACATCATAATACAGTTAAAACTACTCTTTTGGCACTTTTATCAAATGCGCTCGAACTATAATTATCTCTGTCGAGTTAAAACTAGTTATGTGTACTTTTATGATTACCCCTTTTTTAAATGCGCTTGTAAAGTTTTTTATAACCACTGATATCAAGAGCTGCGTGCTCTTATCTATCTTTTTCATTTACTGTGCAAGTGTTCAAATAATTTCAATAATGACCAAAGATCTGGCTTTCTACCTGGCTTATGAAAAAAAGCAAGTTAAACGTTCTACAAGAACATCATAATACAGTTAAAACTACTCTTTTGGCACTTTTATCAAACGCGCTCGAACTATAAATATCCCTGTCGAGTTGAAACTAATTTTGTGTAATTTTATCGAAAATTACATAAATATCTCTGATTTTATCAATTGTGAATTAAAGGTAATTTATGAAAAATGCATTATAAAAAGTCTAATTGACATTCACATGCAGAACATTAATTTCTTGCAGAGTTTTTTTGCAGTTCTCATCTAAGCCAGAGAGGTTGTTTTGCTTTCCGGATACGGTGGCGCTTCTGGCATGCTAGGGTACTGCTGATAACCCCCAGAATCTGAAACTGGGTACGGAAGCGATTGCTGCTGCGAATTTTGATGAGGTTGGTTATAAGACTGACCCCCTGATGGCGGGTAAGGATTTGGATTCGGGGGGTAGTTATTGTAGGCCCCTGGATACTGTCCAGGTGCTGCTGATTGGTTGGTGGGTGTGTACCCTGGTGTGTATTGGTACCCTTGTTGAAGAGGGGGATGGGCTGCCATGTTTGGGTTGTAGTGGTTGGGAGCATATCCAGGTGGGGGTGGGGGCTGATTAGGATGGACTGATTGAGTCATCGGGGGAGGGGGAGGTGGGATTGTTTGGCCCGGACCCCAATTCGGTTGACCTAAAACAACAAACAAGGTCATTTAATTTGCATGAGGTGTAATTTATTCGAGGCATAATACAAACAATTTTTTTTGATAGTTTCGAAGACGAGAAAACGTGGGAATGTTTGTTCTGTACGCCATGTTCTAACCCGCAGATCTGTATCCCTAAAAATTCTCTAAAAATTCTCGCAAGATCTTACAAAGTACGGCGTTTGCATCTCAACTTAGCTATCTTGAAAAATCTTGTTGGAACTTCGCAAGATTGTTATTCATCTGAAAGAGTTCTTTGTACGATGTTTGCAAAAAAAAATCCCAAAAATCATTTAATGTTGGCCAAAAATTGTTTAATCTTTTCTTCGGCTGAAACTGTTCTCAAAATGATGTGACAGTAAGGAAAATTACACTCTAAATAATGTGCAGAAAAATAATTTATATAGAATCGATGAAAGATTTTGCGCATGTAGACTTTTTTAATGGTTCACACGAAACTGAAAAGGAGATAAAAAGAAAATGGGGGGGGGGGGCTCTGTTGGAAATTAAAGCCTGTGTCACGTACCTCCAAAGGGGTTGTTGTTCTGTCCCCCTCCTCCTCCTCCAATGTCACTGGTGAGTATCTTCAGGGCAGCCACAGTCTGTATGGTGTCGTGTGAGATGTGAGGTCGCTGATACTAATCAAATGTAATATTAATAGATAATAGATAATTAATTGTCTTCAGATTTATAATCAATAAAATGCATTCTTTTGTTCACATAATTATTTACCATTTTGAAGCCTGAGAAGCGACATTAGACAAACTCAAAACAAAAAGACAGTTCGCAGCAAAAGGCATTTTGAAATTTAGGGAGGGGGGGGGTCGATTGGTTACCACAACTTCAGAGTTTTTAGAGTTTTTATCACTCAAACTTTTCCAGCCAGTCAAACAATTTGTATTGCGTTTATGCCTTTACTTTGTTGACCCCCCACCTTTGAAATTTTCGCCGCTATCATATAATATTTTGAGTGGCGAATGCGCGCCAAAAAAACTCCATTGTCGAAACTATTCCAAATGTGTCCAATTTCGCCAATTTCGTACTTTTTGTTAAAAACGTCTGATCCGCAAAATTTTTAAGAAAAATAGGTCCTGGCAGTTTTTTAAAAGAGTTCTTAAATTTTTTGCAAACCACAGAAAAGTTCGGAGATACATTTTCGAAGGTCCGCCTGAAAGTCCCAGAGCAGAGTGTATAAATCAGACTAGTCGGCATTTGGGTTAAAATTTGCATGATTTTTGTAGCTACATGCGTTTATCATATTCCTCTGTATTTTTTAGTGTTTTCGGTTGGTTTATTTTCCGGCAGGGATCTTGCTTACTAGTTTTTTAACTACCCCCCCCCCCCCATTACCATAAGAGATGTGGCTCGTTGTAAGAAAATAAGAATTAGTTATAGGCGTACAATATACCACCATTGTTACCTGGTTGCAGAGTCCCTCCAGTTTGGGTCGAATGAAACAGCAGAGGAAGCAGCAGCCTGCCAGAATGAGTGCCAGAATGACCAGGATCAAAATGGCCAACCACACTGGCATCGGTTCCTTCACACAACATCGGCCAGGGGTCATCACCTGCAGAACACAACAGGGTTGTTATACAAATATGAGATTTTTGTTCCTGTAAGAATAGTTGAAAAGAAAAGTAATAGTAAACAAATGAGCTTGTTTTTTTTTCGAATACTTTCAATCCCATTAAAGTTTCTAGAGCAGTAGCTGTCCATTTATAATTTACTAACTGATGATATAAGAAACAGAATTTTTTTGGAAGCTATTCTGACAACAATCTAATAAAGTTTTCTCTTTGGTCGGTTGAAACAAGTCTTTAACGGTTTTTTATTTTTTTACTGATAAAAAATTTTTTGTTCACTCTTTTCTGCTCAAAACCATGGCCCTCTGAACATTCTTTATATAATCAGTTCTCTTTTGCTCATCCCATCGCCAAATCCTCGCTTTCTACATTTCATGCCGGTTTTTTTCATTCTTTTGATAGTGTCATCCCTCCTGAATGGCGAAACCATAAGGTTTATTGTATTATATATACATAAATTGTTTTTATACTGGTGGCATGACCTTGTGGGTTTTCAAGGCCATCTTAATTACCAAACCGAGTGATCGGCAGAGCAAAAAATAATTTGTTTATCATACAGTTGTCAATTTACCCATAACCTGCGTCATTGTATTTGTCAATTTCGTTCGCATTCGATATTGAAGATCTACGCATACCGTAAGGTTTGACATGGTACATCCATCAAACTATACCAAGAACCTGCTAAATATCAATCCATTTTGACCGCGAGCATCTGCAGGTTCACCATTAGAATGGTCGAAGTGGGCGGCCCTAATGGAAATGGCCATATTCGCCAAAGATCGAATTGAAGTACGAAATTCACGCCGTGACAAAGCGACACTCACAGATCCGACTGAACCCATATACGAAGTCAAAATAAATGGAGAAACCGACGCTCAAAAAACTTCCGGGTACGTAAACAAGGAGAGATAACCGGCTGGGAGAATAAAGTATTAAAAGCACGAGAAAAAGGAGTGCAAACAATTCCTTTGGATGGAACGAGGTAGAGGCAAAAGTCAAAAGTTACATATTCTTATGTTTGGGTGCTGAAGGCCAGAGACAACTAGAGTGAAAAAAGACCGGGCGTGGCCCTACAATCTACGAAAACGAGACAAATAGTAACAATTGTGGAAGCTTTTTCATAACAGAACAAAAAATTGCATTTGAACGCCTTAATTTGTCGAAAACAGGGAAAAAATGAACCACTTCAACAATTTCATACAGATTTAGTGAAATTGGCGTAAAGGGCCGACTGCGTAGATTCAGAAGATGAATGCGTACAAGATAGGTTTACTGCCTAAATAAACCACAAAAAGACAGCCAAAGAACTATTAGCAGAGATACGATCTGCACAAGATGCGTACGAATATGCAACTTGTCGAGAAAAGGGAACCAAACACGGTAGAGCAACAAAAAAAATCTTTTCGGTCCATCATTTTCTACACCAACAAAATTAGAATTTATGGGATACACACAACCTCGAGAAAGAAAAAACAGGCAAACTAACAAACTAATCAAAGGGACCGACCTCATGAGGACGATAGAACTTCACACGAGGAAAATTGAACAATAGAAGAGAACAGATTACAAATCACGTGGGACAATACAAGAAATATTACAAATGCTGAAGACAATTCGGTCGGAACCCTTTATAATCATGCACCGCGAAAGATAAGATCTGTTCTAGAAATGCAGAGGGGAGATTTTGCAAAAGTTTGCTAATCTACAAAAGTTAACTTCATGCGAGTGGGAGGAAATGAATAACAACTACAAAACTAAGAAGACATCACAAAGGTAGAAGAGGTAACCCAGTGGCGTTCGCTGAAATCATGTCAACAAACGGATGGGAAGATATCCCACTAGACAACTTCACAGTTATGGCCATAGCAGAAGCGTTTAAAGTCAGAGACACACCAAAAATAACCAAAAAAGACTTAAACGAGCACATAGTAAAATGAAAACGACATCTGAGAACATGAATGCCATTCCAAATTCCGGCAGTCTGATATGTTCCAAGGAAAAAGTCTGCACAACAATTGAGGACAAACGATGAATCGACGACTTTCAACTACATCCCATCGGAGGACGCTGCTCGAGTTCTCGCATTTTATATTGGGAAATTAATGTTTCCGAAAGGACGACTTGCCATTGCACTATAACTCGGATGATGAACAGTTCAATTAGCACCGTTCATCATCGTAGACGATCAAAAGGAGAAAATCATCGGAGGACATTAAACTGGTACAAGTAAAACCAAAAAAGGAGCAGATAGGCAGCCTTTATGAGAACAAAATTTCAGACCCAGAGATCAAACAGTGAATAAAAAACAATTGCAAACAATTGTGTTTGAGAAATGGTAAAGTCGAAAACTATCTAATAAAAACCCAATTGATCGAAAAAGTTGTCCCGATTCAAGAAAAAGGAAGAAGAACTCCGATACATTTGAAAGAAAGAGCCGAGAAAGAGCTGTAAAAATTGATCAAACAAAAGCAGATCACTGAATTAAACAAGTGCACAGACAACCAATTAATTAGTCCCATAATCATAACCATAAAAAGGATCAAATTGCCAAATTGGCATTGGATTCCAAGAAATTTAACAATATCATACACAAAAACAAATATCAATTGCCCAATACAGAACTGTTTCTGGACAAAACAGCGCAGATAGTAAAATCAAAAGAAAAAAGTCAAAATGTTTTCTCAAATATCGATTACGATATGATTACTCGCAAATTCCGCTGGATCCAAAATCCAGAGAACACTGCAATTTCAATCTTATCTGAGGAAATGCAACAGGAAGAGTCAAAATCCAAACTTGGTTTTAGGATCAACCGACATGCCAAACGAAACTGCACCATCAAATACAGGTAGTACACAACAAAAACTAGAGGCAAGCCACAAAATGATCACGAGCAGCATTGTGACACCATTCCTTCTCAATTCAACTAAGACAGACATTATTGGAAAGCATCCATCTCATGGACCCAAGATCCGCCGCTATGATCGACCTCTGCGAACCCATTTGGTTTACGCACATACACAGATCAATTGTCCAGTTGTCACGAAACTGCCGACAATGTACTGAACGAGGTAAAAATTTAAGACCATTTTTAGGGAACACTCATTCACTCCAAATCGAATCAACAGTCGAGCCGAATGAAGAGGTTCAACTAGATTTCGCAGGACTTCTACCCAACGAACTAAACCACCGAAGCGTATATACTCGTAGCCATAGATTACTGGTCGAATTTCCGACAGCTAAAGTGGTATTTAACAACAGAGCAGCCACAAGATTTATGCAAAGATATAAATCAATCAACAGCGTCTCGCAAAATTCAGATGCAATCAGAGTCAAAAGTTCTGTTTTTTTTTTGTGGATCAAGCAACATCAAATAATTATTTGCATCTGCAAACAATCACCACTTGATAGGTGTGGTCAGACGAATGATACAAGCATTAAAACGCAAGCTAAAAGTTATGAGAATAGAGAAAAATAACTTATCTTATAAAATAGCATCAGACAAAGCTGAAATAATCAAAACATTTTGAATCACTCCAGTGGCTGAAATTCTCGCCATTCGAAGCACACATAGAACCAAACCAAGCACACTATCATCAAGTATAACAACAAGCTCAGCAAATAACCTAAACTGGGACGATGCAAAACACGCCTGAAGACAAAGTGGTTAAAAACGGCGGCCATCAGACCTCCTACCAGAACCTTTGAACAAGGAAATTATAAAACCAGCACAAGCAGCCCAACAGGAAACACGTGTGAAAACTAGGCAGACATTATTTAAAGAGCGAGAAAAGTTATATCTAAGATACAAAATGATACAACACCAGGTAGATGCAAACACCAAATAACGGACAGATGAAGTGGCAACGAGAAAAATAAGAGTAGCTACAAAAAAAGACCCAGAAACATCGAACAAAAATACAAAACTACGAACGGGAAAATCTTAATTTACACACCACACACACAGCTTGGGTGCAGACATTGGGTAAGCCACCGAGAATACCAAGAAATGGCAGATTCGCATTTGTCCCCAATCTGCTGATTTATGGACCTTGCATACCCTCACGACTAAGCAAGTACGTTGCATGTAGATCCGCGCAGAGAACAGGACTAGGTTTACAATTGTTTTAAACATTGAAAAACCAAACGCGCCACAACATCCCATGTTCAAAAAAAGGAATATGTCAAGAAAAGATAAACAGTAGCAGTCACAAGATAGCCAAAGAAAAAAAAACGCGAAGCAAACAGGACAGAAGTCAGGAGGAAATCTAGCGCAGATAAACCCAACAAGAGGAATGCAATTCAGGTCAGAACTATAAAAAGAGATCAGCACCCCAACAAACAGGGACATTGAGACGCCAGAGCAACAAACGTCATCAAGTGAGGCTTGGTCCTCTACATTCGAGAACACGGCCCCATCTCCGAGTAGACTGAATCAAAAGAAGACGCATCCCCAATTACCACGAATATCGGCAGAAGCAACCAGGAAATCCACTAAGAACCGACAATCGGCGTTGGCGGGAGCGTTGGGAACTCCAGTACCAATAAGTGCAATTAACGAAGCTAAGCAAATGCCAACGGAACCCAAAAAGAAACAATTTTCTATCGAGTCACCGACCAACAAATAAAGGGAGGGGAACAACTCGAAAATAAAAAGTTTAACCCACGAGATGGGTTTCCATGAAAAATTGCCAGAATATCAAGCATGTGTGAAATTTTCAAAAACAATAAAACCCAAACCTAAAAACAAAAGCATGGAAATATTGGATTTGGTGTCCCCGACTTTCAGTTCAAGCAGAATGATATCAGATATTAGAGAGGTTTTTCTTGGTATCGATCAAAAAACAAGAAGACAACGAAAGAAGAAATAAACTCGGGACTCAATAAATCAATAAAATATGAAGGGACTCAATAAACTCGCAATTCAACTTAAGTCTACTTGGACTCAAAAACTCAAGTTTATTTTTGACTTCCAGGGGTAGTGTCATCCGGCCCGAATGGCAAAACCATAACAGTGGTTATATTTGAATATACATATAGTAATCTATACTGATCGAATGGCCTTGTATCTTTTGAAAACTACCTCCATAGCCACACCGAGTGATCGGCAGAGCAAGAAATAAATGGTTTTATCAAACAGTTGTCTTTTTTACACGTAACCTCAGTCGTCGTATTTGCCAATTCCGCTCGGATTTGATATTGAAGATCTACGCATACCATAAGGTATGACATATAGATTCATGCCAGATATGCTTGGTGTTTTTTCACATAGTTTCAACTCTGCCATTGGCGTGCGCAGAAATTTTCTATGGAAAAGCGGTTTTTCGAAATAAGTTTGAAAACTTTTTTTAGGTCGACCAATTTGTTTCTTCGAACTCTCCGAAACAATTATTCTGTCAACAATTTTTTGAGCGGCATGCATTATTTTTTTTTGAAAAACAAGCTAAAAATGGCGTTTTTAGCATTTTCAAAAACTATTTGATTAATAAAATGCGTTTTTTCAGCGCGCGCTTCCCCCTCAAATGTAGTTATATTGGCGTCGTAGACGCCTTCAGAAGTTTATTTATAGTTCACGTTGAAAATTGAGGAAAATTACTCAAAATCTTTTGCAAAAGTTACTCAAAAGCTTTTAAAAAGTATCTCAGAAGTGTTTCAAATCTTACGTCATCCTCATAATCTTCGTCGTCATAGCCTGAAGAGTAGTCGCCAGTTGCGTAAGTCGCATTTGCATCACAACATTCGTAGATCTTCAGCTCAGCGATTAGTGTCGAGTTCACATCGCTAGTCATGTTCACGTAGATGTTCCTCAGTTTTTCCAACTCTGCCTCGGCGGTGAAGTTGCGACATTCGTAGTCGTGATAGCACACTTTGTCTTCGTAAGTTCTTTGCCTGAAACGAATATGCGGTCAGTTTGTTCCAAAAAGATAGACTTCAATTTCTGTTTTTTTTTCTAATCTTTCGTAAACTTGCATTAGAAGCAGGAGCGAACCTAGGATTTCTTCGAGGGGGAAGGGGAGCTTTCTCCCTTCAAATTAAGCATATTGTAGAAAAAAAATTAGGGTCAAAAATTAGCCAAAAATTGCTGTCTTAAAAGGTACCAAAGGGGGAGGGAAGTTCAAAACAAGCATATTGGCAAAAGCAGCTTGAAAAAATTAAGGGTTTGTCGACCAAAAGTCATAGAGCCCAAAAGTGGCGAGGAGTTCGAATCCGGGGAAGGAGGGGCTGGTGAATGACTGTGTGTCGCTATTAAAATCTTCGCTGGGCAATTGAAAAAACAAGAGGGTGGGGTAGAGGAGTTTTTTTGCATTTGTTGCGTTTGTTTCTTCTCCATAAACCCGCTCTCGTTAAATTATGGTATAAATCAACTATTTAAAAACAAATAATTAAGTGTCGCCAAAATTGCTGTTTTCTGACAAAAAATGTTGCCTTTTCAACGTTAGTAAGGCCGCACACTAACAAATTTAGTGTTAATGACAATCATTAGCTTTTTCAAAAAAAAATAGAAAAAGCTTTAATTAAGAAACGCTCTATTGGTAACATTTAAAATAACAAATAGGAGATTGGGGATAGCGGGAATTTTCTGAATGAAACAAAAACATTTATTACTATAAAGTATTATTAAAATAGTCGATTAAGGGGGTAACCACGAGAAAAAAGGCACAAAACTTTGAAAAGGTTTTATATCCGAGTGATTTTGTGGGGCTTCAACCTATTGAGTTTTCCATTTTATCACTATTTTATTGAATATTTAATGACCCATAACTTATTACCATTTTCCTTCCAATTATTGCCATTTATAATCGGGTTGTCTTTTGTTGCCCCCGAATTGGTCTCAAAATAGTGGTAAAAAAGGGGTTAGACCGATTTTTTTCTGTTATTGTTCTCTGACAAATTACCCTTTTAAAATATTCATCTCCGACTCTTATTGCTTTTAACCTGGTTTTGCTGTCATAAAATACTATCACCAACAAATACCTATATAATAAACACTATTAGAAACCGATTACTTGTAGATTGTAGCCGTTGAAAATGAATAAAGTTATTCTGAGCCTCGTACTACTCTCAATTTTGGTAAGTTTTTTATCATGGCGAATTTTGTATGCACACTTCCGGGGACCGTAATTTTAGCATAAAGATAAACAAGACTGCTCGTATCAGGGCGAAGCCCTGAATGTTCCGACTGCCTTTTAAGCATTATGGGGCAGTAATAACATCAAAAAATAAATTTAATAAAATAGAAATGAAAAAAAAAATTCTAAAATTTGAATTTTTTTATGAAATCATCCCCCGACACGCCATATAAAGTAAAAAAAAAAATTTCGCTCATTTTAACAAATCAATTATGGCAAATAAGTTTCGTTCAACCAATTTGGAACGATTTCTAAGACGCATTAAATCTCCGCTTACGCGTTAATAGCCCGAAATATATCGCGCGTTAATTGTCCCAAATTGGTCAAAATGGCAATCTTTAAACCCCCATAACTGTACGAAAAATCATCACAGGTGAAATATCTTTTCAAATTTAAGCTTAGACAACAATACCTTTTGAATGATAAAAAAAATTCTGTCAAAAATGGCTAGTTAAAAAGTCAAAATTTGTCTGAAGAAAAAAAACCCACCCCGAGCACAAATATTCCGTTACTTTCGTATCGAAAAACGGAACAATAGCATGAAAATTTGAGAGGTGTTCCATTACACATAAGCCGATCAGATTTCATAATACTAATACTATCCAAAACATTTCGGTCATCGATGTTATTCTGCTATATCAGAAATTTGGTAGTAAATGAGCACAACAAAAAAAATGACATAGCTTTCATTCAGTTTGTACTAACGTAAGAATGCTCGTATATCAGGGCAAAACCCGAATGTTTTGACTGCCCTTCAATTGGTCTCAAATAGTTTTAGATAAAAGAGAATATATGAGAAACTATTAATTTTGAACAATGTCGAAGATCGAGTGTGAAAATATTAGTCGTACGACATTATTAACAATGATTTTGTTGTGCGGGATTATTCGCCAAACATTAATATTTCGATTAGGAGTCGCCAAGGCGCTTAAAGATTTACTGTTAAAAATTTTTACTTCGATCGCCGAAAAATGTTTTGATAAAAAACCACCCCAAGCATAAATATTCCGTTTCTTTCAAAAATTGGAACAAAAAATAGCAAAAACGAATAAATTTCATGCATCTGCCACTAAATTTCGATGCCAAAATTTTTGTCCGATTTTTTCAGAATCACGATATGGATTGCTGCTACAGAGCTGAAAATTTAGTTACAAAAGCACGCGATAACTTGTAAATAAAGCTGGCAAAAACCCTATTTTGTATGCTAATGTTTTTGTTCATCCCCACGCTCTAGCATAGAATTCTGTTATCAGCATCTTGAACGACTTTCAATTTCATCAGGAAGTTTCACAAAAATTTTTTGAAGCCAAGTTTGCGAAACTTAAACTATTTATACTTGAAGGCAAAAAAAAAGCATCTTTTAAGATAAATATTTTTACTGAATCAAAGTGCTTAAGTTTAACTAAAGTTTGATTTATGGTGCTGCAAAATTTGGCCCAGATTACAGATGGAACATTTTTAAAATGGACAGATAGCTCTTATTGGAAGCAAGAATTGCTATCCTGAAGCTTAGTACAGACATGTATGAACTGCCAATTGTGTGTTTTTAATTTTGGGTTTTATAAAAAAACTTTTGCTTAATGAAAATCAATCAGAATGTCTGCTTAAAAAATTTCGAAGACAAAAATTGATTGTCATTTGGCAGCGACTATCTGAAAAAAATATAGTACATATATGTATGAGAAGAAACCTTGAAGGGAGGCGGAGCAATAAGTAGAATGGTCCAAGTGCAGAATGGGTCCAAGGGCAGAAAAACAGAAAAATATTGACTTATGTTGGCTTATAAGGGCTAATTGATAAAACATTTATTATAATCGTCAAAAAATACCAAGAAAACGAATAAATTACGCATGAATTGACTAATTTCATTAGGTGTTTTGATTAATTTTTTTAAAATTCTTGATTAAATTGCTCAAATTATGCATAAAATGTTCGTTGCTTTGCTATTATTGACATTTCTGATGATTATTATACCGATTAGCTTATAGAAGTTGTTATTTTTCCTTTTTTTCTGCTCTTGGACTCATTCTGCTCTTAGACCATTCTGCTTATTGACTGGCCGCCACCTTGAAGACTATGTAATCAAGGCCATTACTTTCGTCCAAATCAATTTCTCCTCACTCAGATCAGCGAGAAAGAACTAACAAGAATACTAGTATCTCCTGGCAAAGCGCCTTCAGTTGCCTTTGTCGTCGGTATCGAATAGTTTTAATCAAGGACAAATTAAAAAACCATAAAATCTGGACTATATCTAACATCAAGTGTGAAAATTGGATTCGTACTGAATTGTTATGACCGATTAGCCGCCATTTACTTTTGAATGGTTGCCTAGTACGGGTTAAATTGCGACGCAAAAACTTCTTGAGTTGCGTTTTCAGCATCAACTGCACTGGAGCTCTACGAAAAAATAATGATTAAATCTGACTTTTATTGTCTATATCTATAAGAGAAAAATAATCAACTATGATCAATTAAAAACGGACTTTATGGTTCTTTTTATCAAAAAAAAACTTTGCAAATCAATTATAATCGATCAATTTTCACTTTTACAGATAAAGACAATGCAACTTCATTATATTGATTTTTTTTTTCGTTTTTTTGAGATGCGCAAAAAATTGCTCATTTGAAACATTTTCTCAATTTACTTAAACAAGAGTTGTATGTATCTAATTACCCTGAGAAACAGCGCGCTGAAAAATGCAGTTTCTGAAAAATGGAACTTCGACCTGTATTTTTTGGTGTTTGGGGATTGGTTCTGGTGATGGGGGGGGGGGGTAGTGGCGGTGGGAAATAACAAAGGACAAATGGGGAGGGAAAAGGGCAAACGTTTGCATTTTGAAAAATCTGAGGTTTAAAAATAGAGTAAGCTGTAGACCCGTTTTGCATAAGAAAAATGCTTTTGCAGAACTTTTGAAAAATCTGCAGATCTTTTGAAAATCTGCTTTTGCAGATCATGTTTTTGCAGAAATCGTTGCAGAAGTTTTTGCTGAAGTTTGAACGACACCAAACAAAATAAAGTAGAAAAAATTCATTCTAATTGAATTTAAATGGATTATAATTAACTTTAAATTTGATAAAACAATGGATAAAAATCAAGTCTTTATTCCCTTTTGTGGTCTGATAGTCACAGGGGATTTGATTTTTTTGATAAAATTTTAGACTACAGAGATCCATTTCAATTAAATTTCTTTTCACTTTTCTTAGATGCGGGCATAACAAGTCTTCAAAGAACATGTAGGCTAGTCCAAAGCATGGCCAAAATGGCTGGCAACTTTTCAATCCCCAATATTTTACAAAAAAAACTCTGTTTATATTTGAGTTCACGGAGTCGATATCTGCAATGGGGTATGTAAGTTTTTTCTTAAAAGTTTTGATTCAATCACCGAATTTTGGCTGATAAAAAAATCAATCCAATAAAAAAATTTTCCCATTTTCTTTAGAAGTCGGAACAAAAAATTCTTGATTGTTTTGACTGCCCTTCATGGCTTACTAATAAGCTTATCAAATAACTTTTTGCAGGATTAAAAAAAAAATTCCCCACACGCTATATAATGTACAAAAGTGTTGAACTAACGGCTCTTTTCCACTCCCTACCTGAATTAATTTTTAGTGACGTATTGTTAGGATCAAAACGCGCCTCAATTTGGAACGAAAACTGCTCTAAATATGTCGCACGGGTAATGTCCAAAATGGACCAATTTGGCATTTTTAAAAATATACAATTTTAGAAGTATGATCGCTGGTTGATAATAATTTTTA